CAACCACATTATCACTATATAAGATTAAAATTTGTATTTTGAAAAACAGCAATGATAGCTATCAGAAATGGACATGATCAAGTTAATAATACTTGACTTACTATATTTTTTAAAATAAAGTTATTAATGGAAACGAATGAGTTTATATGAAAATGTAAAATTATTTAAATGAAATTTTATATTTTTTATTATAAATAAAATTAATTTTGAGGTTTAATTTAACTGATTAAAATTAAGTAAGGTGACTTAATGTTGAGATTTATCATTGTTATCCGTTCAACTAGTAATTGTGAAATGTCTGTGATGAATGAAGTTAAAATAACTACATCCCAAAGCTCTCATTTCTCAGTAGTTCTACGTTGTCTACTAATCGTGAAAATGTGAAGGCAGAAGTTTTGTATCTATGGTACTTGGTAAAGATCAGGGCTGATTGCAACATTTTTAACCAGTTTACGATGTCTTTGATACATTGTGTGCTACTTGAGTTAGCATTCCTGTATGTATGTGTTTTTTTTTTATGGTGCAATTTTGAATCACTGCAATTCCCCCCCCCTTTCAGTTCCTGTGTTATTTACTTAATTGCATAAATGAGATGCATAATGGTAGTATTAGCATAGAGAATAAATTTAGGGAAAACCTTACTGCGTATGTTTTTATTATAGTCTTTCGTTTAAGAGCATGAGCATTACTTCTTTTTAAAGTAATTTCACTAGTAGATGTACCATTTCTTTTTAACATGAACTAGTGTTTTGATACATTTTTGCAAAATAATTCTTTCTTCCTCAAAATATTTTCCTCTTACTTTTTGCTTTTTTCTCTTTATTCTAGCATTATTTTCTTTGTATGTAATTGCATTTTGATAGTATACTAGTTATGTATTCAGTAAATCTTAACTTAGTAGTTCTTTAAGTATTGATATGTTTTGTTAAGTTTTCCATGTATGAAGAATCCCTACTAAATGTAAAAATTAGAAAAGCAGAAATTTAAATAAAACTCTGCAAGACGTGATCTGTAATCCTGAAAATTCTCTAATCTGCACAATTCTTCGTTCGAAAATCTATGGATCTTTGGAATTTTACTGTGTTTAAATTGTTTTTTAAATAAAACAACGATAAAAGGACATAAAGTATTGAAAAAATGTTTAGGAAACATGCTTTTAATATTTATCTGGTTGAGGAATATTTTACTGGGACAAAAATTACCCCAACACATCTGAAATATTCTGAAAATTTTATGACATGGTTTTGGGACTCTTTTAGGTTTCTTTTATACCATTTAATTTTAAATAATTTCAATTAATGTAGCATTAATTAATGTTGAATTAATCCTACATTCTACTACTTTATTTATACCAGACTTGCTACATTCAGGAAGAGAGGAATATTGATAAAACTACCCAGTAAGAAACCAGTGCTAATAAAGGAATGTAAACAACAGAATGTTGAAATTAAGCTGTTTTAATCAAAAGAAGACTTCCCCCCATGATGTCTGTGCTTCATTATTACTTAATTCCTTCTTCACAGTTAATGTAACACATCATAGATAAATTATATTAACAGCAAAAATAGTTAAAAAATAAATGAAATTGATCATATAGTTTCACATAATAGACATAAATTATAAATGCAAGTAACTAGAAGTATTAGGAACAGAAATTATTTGAATTCAAACATTTGATTTAGTAGAACAGTGGTGACAAACCTTTTTGGGGCCGCATGCCCAAAATTCAACCAAAACCTACTTATATATAGCAAAGTGGCAACACTCCAATTAAACCTGAAAATGGAGGTTTTTACTTAGCAAAACAACACACACTTATCTTAAGACTTAAAGAAAAAACAAGAACAGAGTTTTCAATGATGCAAAAAACATTTTACTACAGGAAATAGATTGGTTTTGCGTAATTAATGGGATTTTTTTTTTTTTTTTTTTTTTTTTTTTTTTTTTTTTTTTTTGCTGTTGTATACGTACTGATAATTCGTCAAACCTTGGCTCATACTTCGTTAATTTGAGCGCAACGCATGCCACTTTAGGTTATCTGTCACATTTGATATAATTCAGAGCTGAAAACAATTGTTCACACGCATAAGATAATCCAAACAAAGTAAGAATAGCACTCCCAAGTGTTTTCATTGATTTATACTTATTTGGCAGAGAAGTCCATGCTTTAAGGATTTCATTTTCATAATTATCAATTGCTGTCCTGTGTGATCTCTTTGCACTCCATCTTCTCAAGTGTTGCACGCATATCAGAGAATTTTCTTTTCCAAGTAGAGCTTTCTTGGCACAAAGAGCTTCTTGGTGAATGAGACAATGAAACTGAATAACTGAGTGTTTTGCTTCTTTAACAAAGAACTGTATGAAACCAGATGTTCTCAACATACAAGACACACCATCACTAGTAATTGAATCTACTTTTTCTGGTCTTATGTCTTGTTGAAAAAAAGCTTCCATCACAGCAATGTAAATATCTATTCCTTGTGCTCTTTTGGGCAAAGATGCCAATTTTACCAGCTCTTCTCTCATCGTATCACCAACAGCATAATGCGAAATTATTGCTAGCTTTGCATGGTTATTTATATCTGTGTTTTCATCCAAACACATTGAGTAACAGGCTACCTTTTGTCAGTCAGTGGTGAGCTGCTGACTAGTATCACTTGCCATTCACAGGAGTCTATCTTTAACAGCATTTCTGATAAGTAGCATCTCAGCAATGCGTTGTTTAATTTAGTCCTTATTTGGAAAGTCATGAAAAAAGGAATTACTCCCAGACAGCATGACCTCTTTGAGTAAATCCCCATCGGAGAGCGGTTTACCATGTTTTGCCAGGCACAGTGAAATTTGGAAGCTGGCCATTATTAGATGGTTTGTTTTAGAAAGATAATTGCAAAACCCAACTTTCTGCTAATTATAATTCCTCAATTTCCCTTCAATAAATACCTTCTCTTCAGCTTCATCAAGTTCAACAACAATCTTGTGGTTGGTATTAAAGTGCCGTCTGACACTAGAGTGCGACACACAACACTTTCTCCACATAGAATGCATAATGTTCAATAGCTCCAAATGATTCTGTCCAGGTCTCCTGAAATGATCTTCTACTATCAGTGTTTAATTTGCCTTTTTTGCTGGAGTCATTTGTAAGGGTTCAAGACCTGGGGTATAGAAATGCACAAAATTTTAAAATGAAGCATTAAAATATAAATCGATCATATACTAAAAAGAGTAGCATTATTAGCCGATAGTAAAGGACTAGATTTTCACAAATCAACAATCTCTGGGTGCAGATTCAAATATAAGCAGGGGACAGCAGTAACTATTAACCCAGACTTCTCTTTGCTAAATTTCTCTAACTGTGGATTTCTTATGCTCCTTTTGGGCTTTATTGGGCTTATTTTAGGTGAGCGCTTATGACTAAGCTTGGTTTTCTTACTAAGCTTTCGTGTTTTGCTTATATTATCAAATTGCGAGTTTTTACATTCCATATTTGTACATTCCATTTAAGATATTGAGTTAGAATTATTCATAAGTTACCTTAAAATGTTTAGATCTGAAAACTGGAATCTATTTAACAATGAAAGTATTAAAACTCACCGGCAGTCTGCAATACATTTGAATTCGTTTAGCAAACACTAGCTGCTTCAACTCTGTAGTATTCTTTGCCATGTAACAAGTAATATAATTGGCCCAAACAAATGAAACGTCATAAATTGGATCAATAAATATGTATATCATTTCTATGGCAATATATGAAGATCTTATATCTAGGCTTAGTCCCTATGCCAGTAGCATTGTGCGATAAGTAAGTGAAACATTCAAGAACGGAGACTAAAACACTTATTTAAATTACAAAGTATAATTGTATTGTGATTATTGATTAAGGAAATAATATTTTAATCTTGTGCTGGCTGATGAGGCTCTGCATGCCAACTGTGGCACACATGCCAAAGGTTCGCCATCACTGCTGTAGAAGTCCCCCCTCCCATTAGAGCTTTGAAAAAGTCTTTATTACCAAAAGGTCACAAAAATATGGAAAATACAGGTTTCAGTTTAAAAGGGTAAATATAATTATGAAATGCCATACTCACTAAATACATCTTGAGTAAAACTAAAAAGCAAATGAGCGATACGCTAATTTGATTGAAAATAAGTCAGAGAAGAAAATGAGATGTAAACTAGGTTACAGTTTGACATTTGTATGAGTTAAACCACCGAGGTTGTATTTAAGCAAAGATGAAGAAGAAAAGAATCCTGAAACCCTAGCAAAAGAAAATAATCATCAAGCATTACAATATAGGGTAATTTAAATTCATGGATATTAGACATGACTTTACATAGCACCATGAGAAATGATGGTATAACAAGTTTTGCAGAAATAAATCTAGCAGAAATGTATGCAATCGGGTTTCAACGTGTGTTTAAAATTACTGTCACTATCCATAGCCTTTAAATTGTATAAGTTTTAAAATGTATTCCATCAAGTGCCTCAATTTGTTTTATGAATAGAGGTGGAAAAATGTTCTGTTAATATGCAGTTATAAATGTAGTTTTCAGTGTTCTAACTGATGTTTCGATTATGCTTAAGATGATGTGGAGCTTTATTATTTTTCATAATTGTAAATTTCATCTCCAGGGCAAAATTACATTCACATGCACACACACACAAAACAAAAATGTTAATTGGTATCAAAAATGCTTCTGCATGTTCAGTAATGCCATCTCTGGTCGTATTATTAACAATTTGAAAATAAATTTAATGATGATAGCTTCTAGAAAAACTGGAAAATTGCAGAATCTGTGGAAGTAAACTCTTAAGTGATTTTCTGTTTTATTTTGAAGTTGTAAAAAGGGGTGATGTAAATTGTTTTGTTTTGTCATCATTAAAAAATGGGTTTTTGAGTGACAAACTGTCTAATGTAACTTGAATGAATCAATATTTTGCATGATCTTTTAGTGTTATATGAATACATTTATATACTTTCTATAATTTTGATCAATCTTAGATATTAACATGGATGATGGCATGTGAAAAACAAGTGTATATACTACGACAAGAATTTTTCTATCAAGTTTTACGTCATGAAATAGCATGGTATGATAAACATCAGAGTGGAGAATTGGTCACAAAATTAACTGAGTATGTATAAAATTCAGTACTTTTCTCATATTATTTTTTTATCTCTTATACTGTGCATTTTAGTTTAATTTTTAGAAACTCCTTTCACTGAGTGAAAAGAGATGTGTATATCTATTGTAAGAAAACAGCCCTGTTTTTGTGTTTAATGGGCATATTCATTTCAGTAATGTTAGTATTTTCCCTTAGCTAATGTTTTCAAACTTAGTTTCAAAGAACTTGAGTTCATAAGAAGTCATTTTAAGTTATGCTTGAATGATAGGTAATCCTTTGTATAAATTTAAAAGATAGAATTCAGAAAATACTTTCCAAAATTTAAAAAGTACTTTTCAGTCTTAGTTGAAGTATTCATAATTTATATTGCTGAGAGTTAGTCTGTTAATAATCATACTAAAAATCACCCTGCAAAACATTTCATGCTAAAACTGAAATCTTTTAAGTAAATTTTTAATACTTTTTTTTTATTTTACTAAACTGTGATAAAGAATTTAAAATATTATGAAAAATTAAATTATTGTATCTAGAGCAGCTTTTTAATAAAATGACGCCTGTTGAAGTCATGACAGTTTAATTCAGTTGCATGAATTTAAAGAAACAGTAGTCTCAAACCTTTCATTGTCTTTAATGTAATACATTTTTTCAACAGCACAATTAAAAAATTATAATACTGACCAAGCTGAGCTGTGTATTATATTTACAAACTGAAAAATGCCACTAATGTAAAGTGCATAATGTTCTGCACCAAATTAAAATATTAATGAATTCTTCATTTTCTTGATCTTATTCATTAGTTGTTCTGTCTGACTCATGGATTTATAAATGGCATCATATTTGCATTTTGTCTGATTCTGGTAAGCATATCAAACCATGCGATTGGAAATTTCAGTTTCCTTCTTTCTTGGTTATTTTGAGTGAACTTAAGGTCCATGAATTTTTGATCCATTCAATTCAGTGTTTTAATGAGGTGGTTCTAAGACAGCTTAAGCTCCAGGAATCATACCCACATATGTTCATCTTTGACCAACATCTTTGCTTCTGCTTTCAGCCATTTAAAGAATCTAGTCTTGTCCATTCTGTCTGTGAATTTGATCTTGTATTTTCCATGCAAAACAGTACATGGATGTTGCCTTTTAAAATTATGCCATGAAAATAAGGGAACGAGAAATATATATGGGGAAATAGAATTGATATTGAAGTCATATTTTACGCAGTGATAAATCATTAAATGTCTCTCAGTTCTAAATACGCATTTAAAAAATTTTATTTTTCTGTTTAAGAATAACTATGTAGTTTTCCTCACTGTTATCTTGCTAAATGCAATGTCGAGGAACCTAGTGAACTACTAAGCGAATAATCGCTGAAGTCCAAGTACAGAAACGTAAACTCAAGAAGGGTTAGTTACCCTTTATTTGCTCAAAATAAAGATTTCACAGTTGGCCCCTTTCTCAGGGCATACAGAAAAGCCTCCACTTGGGCTCAAACACAAAATTTAGGAAATAAGAACTAATTGATGACTAACTTAAAAATATTTAGCCAAAGCTAACACAATTCTAAACTAGTTGGGCTGTAATATTAACTTACCCAGCAAAGCTATCAAAAGGCACGTAATACAGCCGAACATATTAACAGTTAGAGAGATGTTGCCAAAAAGCAAACACGTGCTTCTTGGGAATCCTAATTTTATGTCTGGAAGTCAGTGTAACTTTGACTTAAATACTTTATACTTCTCATTTGCATTTAAGATGGTTTTAAAAACTCATTCTGGTAAGGAACTGTAAGATGAAGCTACAAGAGAGAGGAAAGTGTCATAAACTTAAAGTAAGTATTATAAAATTGAAATATACCTTGCAACATTTCACTACTACATTTTAAGGAAAATTATTTCTATATTTTAAGAAAATTATTCTAATTTAAGGAAAATTATTTCTATAATTTAAGGAAAATTATTTCTATATTTAAGGAAAATTATTTCTTACTTTTTAAGACTTTGATTTTTAAAATATTATTATTATTATTTTTTACTGTTGTCATTTGCAGTCACATGGATATAGTTCTACTGGGTACGCCAATTTTGATAACATTAATGTTGCATTTATAAAGGAATACATAAATTTCCTTCAGCGAATCTGCGGTTTTTGTTGAAATAGCAATCTTTTCCCTAAGCAGTACATACTAAATAGTAGATACAAAATTAATTCTAGGAGGGGGGAAGGGGAAAAATGAAATTATAAAAAAAAATTTCTTTTTTATATAAAACTTATAAAATAATTATGATATAATTTAATAAAAATAAAAGATTAAATAATTCTCTTTGCAAAATAAATCTACAATTTAATATCACAAAAACCAGAAGTGTGGACCTTGAAAAATTTATAAAGCTTACAGCTTATACATTTGACAATAAAATTTGATTATTAGATTTCTTTATTTAGCCTTCCTTAATTGTATTATTTGTGATAGAAAATTGTAGATGAATCTTGTAAAGAGAATATTTATTTAATCTCATGATAAATGTTTCCCCTTTTAGTTCATTAATTGTTTTTACGAGTTTTAAATAAAAATTATTTTGTATTTTTAAATGAACGTTTCTTTCTTCATTTTTTTCATATTTTTAGTCTGAATGAAATGTTGCCAATCAAGCTATTCAATTAAAAAAATCATATCATAAGTTGTAGAAACAAAGATTATACAGTAAAAGTCTAAGATCCAGACTCATCGGGACATCTGCGATTCCCGGATTTGGGATTTTTCCGGATATTAAATCATCAGTTTAAATCTAGTAAGATGGCATGTAGAAATTATAAAATTAAAAATACGAAATCGTAATTTATGAAATAATGAACCGTTTATGATCTAACAAGTATCAAAATTTACAAAGAAAAAAAGTTTACTTACAGTACAAAGTCCGAGATCCTGACGTCCAATTTCCGGAATGATCTCAAATCTCAAAGCCATCAACAACTTTTTTTTAAAAAAAAAATTTCTATACTTTACGCATTTGCGTATTTGCCCCCCGCGTATAATAAAACTAGTGAAAAGAACTACCGATTCTTAATTTCACTTCGGCACTAAGTAAAATACCTCATTATTGAAGAAACAATCATTTTAGCATAAATTTCTATGATCATTAATTTGGCTCCATAGATGCGTATCAGCTTGGGTACTTCTCAAACCGAAACATTCTACATAGATACACTACAAAGTCCGTAATCCGGACTTCGTCGGGACTTCGGCGATTCCGGATTAAGCGTTTTTCCGGATTATAGATCATCAATTTTAATCTGGTAAGATGGCATGCAGAAATTATACAATTAAAAATACGAAACTGTAATTTATGAAATAAAGAGCAATTACGTTCTAAAGGGTATCAAAATTTACCAAAAAAATATTTATTTGTTTACTTTATTAAGCATTTCTTTCAATGCAAGTTGTTTAAGTTGCTTCGTTTTTTGTGCTAATACTTTTTCTTTAATTATATAAACAAACATAATTTCTTGTTCAGTTACAAAGTTCCACTGTTCAAGTCCTGTAATTGCTGTGTCGAGAATCCCGACTAACTTGACAATTGAAATTTTTTCGTTTTCAATAACCTCTCTGTCACTTTCTTCACTATCGGAAGCGGTATTTTCTGGATCTAGAACCATACTACAGATTTCGCCATCCGTTAATTGATTGATGATTGGGGAATTGTCGTCGCAATGAAAAACTTCAGTTATATCTTCATTTATTACCGCTTCTCCACATTTCTTTACAAAATCGAATAACTGGAAAATTTTTACCTTTAGTTTGTGATGTCCAAAAACCTTCAAATTCGCGGCTATCATCTTCATTGTTCTCACCATGAAATATGGTAGCTGGCCATAAATTATGCCAAGCATTTTTTAATGTATCTGGATCCTTCCACGATCTTGCGATGCTCCACACTGCAGATTTTATGCTAAAAAATTTCAAAAAGTCTTGAATAGTCTTGCCATTGTTCAAGAAATTTAGCATAGATTTTTAAGATGCTACTTTATATTTTCATTTCAGCGCGTGCACTATTCCCATATCCACAGGCTGAATGATAGACGTACAATTTGGAGGGAAGAATAATACGAATACATTATCTTTCACTAAAACTTTAAGTGGAGTATGCTCCGAACAGTTGTCAACAATCAGGACAACTTTTAAGTATCAGGTAAACCAACCGAATTCAAATGTCGCCGAGGCCCAGGTATAAAATGATTTTCAAACCAATCATTCATCAACGCTTGTGTCATCCATGCTCTTTTATTTGCGCAATACATAACGGGGGAAATCGTTACTCCTTTAAATGCTCGAGGTCGTGTATATTTTCCGATTACGAAATGTTTGGGCTTGTGCGTTCCTGCAGCATTTGCGCATGCTAAAATTGTTAGTCTTGCTTTGGAATCTTTGACACATTAATGTGGTGTTGTTGGCGTGACCGCGAAAAGTGACGATACTAAGAATATCAAATACAAATTAATTCCGCGTAAGTAGTTAAACTAAAATTTAGTGGTTAGTACATTCCATGATCTTTACTAAATAGAATAAAATGACTTACCCAATAATGCATGCATGAGTCGAATACTCTCTCTTTTCCCTCTTGCTGCCTGACGTCGTGTTAACGAGTGTGTGTGCAGTCACCATCGTTCCTGCATATGTTGCACGTGGAATGTCGTCGTATTATGCATAGAAAGAAGCAGAATTAAGAGATGTAATATCTAAAGTAAAATGCTTGGTTTGAGACTCACTAAGTCCGGCTGCCGTGAATAACATAAAATAAACGCTCAAGCAGACTATCAATAGGTGTTCGACTTCAAGATGTGCTTGACCAGAGATGTGTCACCACGTGATGATAATTGTGTAAAAAAAACGTGAATGTGAAAAAAGAAGAGCTTACAAGTGTGTAACCAGACCGCGCGATAATACGAAAATTAATATGAGAAAATTTTGACCACTGATATATTCGGCGAGACAGGATTGCACGAATAGTCACGTTT